TCTCCTCCGCTGTGCTCTGCTGCAATCAAAAAATTTGTTTAGCTCTTGCAGGGAAAACTGCTCAGTCGCCACTAGAGAGATGAAGAGGGCAAAAGACGAACAACAATGAAACGAAAACTACAAAAATGTGAAGTAAAGTGAAAAAGCCAAAAGCAAAGCTGTCAGCCCTTACAGCGGATGGGGAGGCGAAGACTGGGAGTGAAAGCAAGCACAGAGAAAGCAGCCAGAGCAAGAGCAGGAAAAAGCTTGCAATAATAAAGTAAACTAAACTAAACTAAACGTACTGCTCGCTGCTCTCTGCTCTCTGCTAGCTGCTCGCTGCTCAAGTGCAATGGCAATTGTTGTGCTGTGTGCGCATACAGTGCTGCTGGGTAGTACGCTGCCCGGGCACTCCATTTTATAAGCAACTGTAAGCAAAAGCAAAGTAATCCACGCTCGCTCATTTCCACAATTAGAGGGGGGGCATATTCCAAAGCAACTTTAAACAAAAGGTTCTGCCATCCAAGTCCAAGGGTGGATTGGGCGGGGAGACTGCAGCCTGTGCTGTGCTCGGTCTTTGTTTTTCTCCGAGCAAAAATGAAGAAGAAGAAGACGAAGAATTTGAACAAACAAAAAATTCGCCATTTTTTAGTTCTTGTTTTTCTTTTTTTTGGGACTCTGCTCTTGACTTCGTCCTCGTCATGGTCGTCCTCGTCGAGTGCCAGTCCTCGACGTAGTCGCTCTCCCATCGCTATGGCATGCTTGGAATTTGCTTTGCTTTATGCTCTTCCCCCCTCTCCACCGTCGCCCATCGTTTTTGGTTGCACTCAGAGGGGGTAGGTGGGGGGTGCAGCGAGGTAAGTGCACCTTATTTCTTTCATTTTTGCATTATAAAAGGTAGAAATTAATGCATAGAAGAGTGGCAGAGAATGTCCAGAGAAGTATTCTCCGTCCTGTCCTCAAGTTCCTGAAAGTGTTGGGAACTGTTTTGTGGTTTCTTCTTGTTTTATGATTAAAGTTTGCACTGGAGCGGGCTGAGGGGTGCTGGCTGAAGTAGCTCCAACGGCAGAGTGGCCCAGGCAGGACTTTAAATATGAATACTATGTTAAATATCATGTACAGAGAAGATGTCAAGCAAGTGCTAGGAAATATATGCAGATATATTTCATGGGTACCATGGGATAATCATGATAATTTTGTATCAGAATTTACGCTGCAACTGATGATCCTTGCGGTCTAGTCTTCTAGTCTCTGGCATTCTAATTTGTTCTGTTTATCCGAATATGTATGTGCATACAATATATCTGTTTATCCCAATTTGTGCCGTACCCCCCGCCACCCCAGACACAGCCTCACCATATTGCTTATCTATTAAAGCAATCCCAAATCGCTCAACTTTGCATAATGCCATCCCCCACCCCCAGAAAGGAAAACTTGATAAACATACACATACTTGCCTGTGCGCTGCATTCGGATTCGAATATACAGAGCAGCTCTCCCTGCACCCTCTCTCTTTATGCTCCATTCAGTTATCCCTGCAGCAGCCTCTCAATCCCTCCAATCTTGCTCCAAGTTCCGGCTGCTCGGGCTGCCTGGCTTTTCAAAGTTTTCCCAGCCATTGCATGTCATTTGCATAGTTTTCATTGCCCAGAGTCCTGCCCTGCTTGCCCTGCTTGCCCTGCTTCCTCTGCTTCCTCTGCTTGCCCTGCTTCCTCTGCTGCTGCTGCTGCCTCTCATCGCATTGTTGTTGCTGTAACGAGCTGTCAACAATCTTTTAGTTTTGGCCATCGGCAAATGTATTTGCCAGTTTTTCAATTGAATTGTCGAAAGCGCCCGTTGATATCACAGGCTTTCCACTTGGCTGCTCCACCAGCAACGACCCGCCCCACCGGAAAAATATTAACTTAATTTACGATATGGCTTAAACAAATGGCTCCACTCGAATCGAATCGAATGGAATCGAGTGGACTCGAGACGGCCTGTTAATGTTGCAAATCGTCTGACAAATTGTCGGCAAGAAAAGTGTTGCCACTGGATGGATGATTTATGGCCATCTGGGTCGATGCATGCGTGCGTGCTGGCAGAGTGGCAGAGAGGCTCTGACAATGCAACTAAATGTGCAACCTACTTTCCAATTATCCCCACACCTGATCCCGTCGCTGTCCCTGCCCCATCTCCTGTGCAAGGACCAACCACAATATCAACAATGAGAACAGTAGGATGGATCCGAGCTGGCAACAAAGCGTCCTGCTCAGCGCAGATGGGGATGTGGCAGTGAGGGAGTTGGGTGGGGTGGTTGGCTGAGTGCATTTTAGCTGAATTACGGCCTTCGTTTTTCTTTCTGGCCACCTTCCTTTAGATGGGGTTGGTTGCATGCAGCAGCTACAACCCACCGCCTGCATGCATCTGAGGCTGCCCCAGTGAAGTGAACTGCACTAAGGTGAAGTGGGTGAAGGCCTCGCTGCACGAGGCTCAAAGGCAAGTAAATGGCCCTTTGTGCCCATTGTCTGAGACCCATAATGTTGAGGTGCTGCTGCTGTTGTTGTTGTGGCACAGCAGCCATTATATGCCAAAATAAGGCCACTCAATGCCAGGCCAACAAGATGCAAGTCGAGTGTCCTGAGAGCATCCAGTGTGGGGGGGGGCTTGAGCTGAGTGTAACCGAGTGCGGCATCTTCTTCTAAAACTTGCCCTGTCTACCTTCTGTTCACCTGAGACGCAGCTGCAGATGCAATTTTCATAATTCATTTCAATTTAGTAGACTTTTCTGCTAATTAGTCCTACATTTAGTTGGGGATGTACCCCAAAGGGGTGGGGAGAGGGGGAGTATGCAAAGCCAGGGAAAACTTCAACTAATTGCTAAATAAGCAGAGTGAAGGAGCTGCAGCTGAGGCTGGTGGCTGGTGGCTGGTGGCAGCAAGAGCAACACAACTAGAAATACAGAAATTGAGCACCTCATTAAATTAGGCGCCTGCAAGGAATGGAAATGCATTACGAGTGCTTTGTCTGTTCGGAGAATTCGCCTTCGGGCAGAATAACTGGCCGGGCAACATCCGTTTCCGTTTGCTTCGTTGCTCCTTTGCTGCTCTCCTCCTTTGCTGCTCCTGCTGCACCTTCAGCTGCAGTGAAATATTAACCCACTAACGGAGGGCTGTGCTTCTGCTTCTGCTCTTGTGCCAGTTTTCAGTTTTAGCCTGAAACTCGCTTCCATGATTCATTTGGTGTCACGTTGGCCCATTAGCCAGGCCACCCATGATACAGATCCAGTTGTCCATTGTTGCTGTTTTGTGGTCTAAAACCACTGAAAGCTTAGCATAAATGAGCTGAGATTCGTGGCGTGGTCCGTGTCCGGTGGGAAAGCTCATTAGCGCAGTCGGAAAACCGGAAACCGGAAGCAGTGGCATGCACTGGAGACAACTTGTTGGTGGTGGAGGAGCAGGGGGATGATTAGCGAATAATTTAGCAACATTTTTAATCCGAATCGCGGAAATAATGTTGCATAATTTAACTCCTCATCTATGCCCAAGGGATTTGAAACCGAATAATCTGCTCGTAATTTATAGCGATGATTCCTTTAGGGGTGCCCCAAGCCAGGCAACTGACAGAGACGGACGCCATTCAATCACTTATTTCGGGATAATCAACCTTTTCCTGATTCCTTTTTAATTCTTTCAACAAATAACAGAAGGAATCTGCTGAGAAACTTCAGCTCTCTGGGCTGCTGCACCGCTCCTGCTCCTGCTCCGATTAAGTCAACTTGTTCAGCTTTCAGTTGGTTTGTCTTTGGGCTTCGGACAGCAGTCTGCCAGGCAGTATGGAGAATCGAGCACCTGCCAGTGGTGGAAGTAGAACAGTTCAGGGCTCGAGAAAAGTTCCTCGAGAACTTGCCGGCGAGAGTCTCGCAACTATACACATAATTAAAGAAACTCTGGCAAATTAATTCAAGTTGAGAATTTAACAAATTGCCAAAAGCAGGCGAAACTTTACCCTCTGCTTCCCTCTCCTCCCCTCCGCACCCCATCCCACCCCCAGCAAGCAGCAACAATCACAAACAATTTCTGCATGCCAAACAATAAACAATCAAGTCAAGTTGAATTCAATGCAGGAATGGGAAGGAATGGGAAGGGCTGGGGGGGTCTGATGATGGGTCTGCAGATGGTCATGCAATTGCTAACTTTTTAATCAACTTGATGATGCAAAAGCACAGCAGAGGAAGATGGAAAGGAGCGAGAGAGAGCGTGAGACAGGAGGGCTATTCGTTTTATATGGTGATGTAATTGGCCAACACGGATTGAGGGCGTTAATAATGTGTGTGTGTGTGTGTGTCACTGCAGATTGTAGATGGTAAATTACAAAGCAGAAAACTTAGTAAAAGAAGCGGCAGCAGCTGCAGTAAGTGATTCAATTTGTCAGCTGCTTGTTAGACGGACTTTGATGGGCTGGGATGTGACTGGAGGGATGTGGGGCATCGGATGAGATGTGACTTTTAATGCCTGACTGCCTCACTGCCTGCCTGTCTGCGTGCAGTTTGAACTTAATTAAAAACCTTGTTGGAGTAATCGTTGTCTTCGCCGCTTGTAGCAGCAGCTCCTTGATGTGGCCAAAGTAGTTGCTAAGTTCGATTTTTGTCGTCTGCTCTGCGGTCGTTTGCCTCAAAGTGCAAAGCGTTGTCCTGTCGCGCCAAGGACTTGCACGGCGACACATGGCGAATTACTTGGCCTCCAAGCCACATCCTTCCGACTGGCTGGCTGGCGCTGGCTGGCTGGCTGACTGACTCCTTGCCCCGCGTCTAATTGAGTTGTACAAGGCTACTACTAATTGCATTCGATGCCTTGCCGCTTGAGTTGCGGCAGCAATGATGTAATTAAATTTTATTGGGCCGCGATGAAGGTGGAGGCGGCGGAGTACTCCCGCTCACGGCTCAAGGTAATTTCCGGTCAGATTTATAGCGGCGAATTTTAATTAAAACGGAGTTTCCATCAGCCCCTGCTGCCGCTTCGGCTGCTGCTCATGTTCTCTGGCTTTCGTGTCAAAGGAGTATCTAAATTTGTAGTATCTAAACAACAGAAACTAAACCCAAGAAGACTAACATTAATACACCTACACAGACAGACATTTACATTTAAACAGATGAAGAGAGGAGCAGCAGCAGCGGCAGGAACAGCGGCATTCCCCATCAGCATGGACAGCGGACAACAGGAGGCGGTGGCAGCTGCGGATGGGGCTGGAGCTGGGGAGGGTGAGGTGTGTGCCTTCTGCCTGGATCAGATACAGAACCCGGTCAAGCTGCGCTGCAGTCACTCCTTCTGCAGGGGCTGCCTGGAGATATACCGCGAGGCGCGCAGTTGGGTGGCCGAGCGCTGTCCGCTCTGTCGGCGCATACTGGAGGAGCATGTGGGCCGCAACTGGAAGGGCGTAAGTGGATGGTTACCTCTGTTCTGCATCAACCAACTGCAACTGCAACTGCACCTCCACCTTCTCCGAATCCCTAGACCTGGAGCCTGGCTGTGCTAATAGTGTTGCTCCTGGTGCTCCTCAGCCTGGGGACCTTCTACTTGCTGCTGCTCTACTGGTAGACCGCCGCCAGTAAAAGAAATCCATTCCCCTGCAGATGTTCAGACCCCTACAAAATTAGATATGCACGCAGATGGAGAGATTGCGTCGTGGAAGATGCGTACAAAGTTGAGTGAATTTTAATTAAATCTAAAAGCCATAAAATTCCATGTGCAATGCGCTTTATCCTGGTCCATTGTCCGTTGTCCATTGTGCCTTATCCTTTGTCCACCTTCCGGCGCATATAATTAATTTGTATCCCCCCCCTCTTACGCCCCCTCCCAGGAGTGGGACATCTAATAGAGCTCAAAGCATGAGGAAAATTGTATTGTGTGGCAAGCTGCAAGTGGCTGGTTGCTGGTGCCTGCTGACTGGCTGCTGCTGCAATTGCTCCTAAAATCACTCATACGCCCTGCGGTTCTCGGCTGGCACAATTTTTTGGGCGTTGCTTTCACCATTTCGACCACATTTTAATTCAATTTTCAACGCCAATAAGCCCCCAGAAAAAAAAGTGCTGCACATGCACATATGAAAATATTCAAATAATATTTACAAAGTAAATATTGTATTTGTAAGCAAAGTGAGAGTCAGCGCAGAACAGGGGCAGACGCAGACGCAGCCATAGCCAGACGCCATTCCATATATGTACATATTTCTATATTGACACAAACACACACACACACTGACACATAGTACATATAAATAAATACATACTGCACCCCGCCATATCATTTAATCATTTGTTTATGTTTATTTTTCGCCTGTAAATCAAAATAACTGCCCAGCCCAATAAACGAAAATATATTTTGACATTTTAAAGAGAGCTTTAAAGTAAAATGCAATGCAAGTAACAACAAAAAATATGCCAATATGTGGAAATTAATGAAATTTAGTTAAAGAAAATTCAGTTCATACGCCACTGCCACTGCATAGCCTTGTGGAAATCTCTGGAGTTGGCTTCAGATTATCAACATCATATTCATATTTATTTGTAATGGATTTTCTGGTAAGCTTTTTGTTGCTGTTAATTTCAATCCATTACTGTGATGAAGGAAAATTACTTTAAGGTTTCGTTAGATATATTTTTCCTAGTTTATTTTCAGAGTCCAACATTGACTTTATTTGCATTTATTTACTTTATCTTCAGTTGAAAGCTATTCGTGATGTAAAGCAAAGAGTTAATAGCAGCTGAGGATTTTAAAGGATAAGTTTTAGTTAGGGTTGTTGGAAGAGAGGATAGTAGGGTGGGTTGTGCTTTGGTCAGTTAAAGTGCGCAAAGTGCTGGGCAGGCGATGAGGTGCTGCAGCGCTGCTCTGTGTGAGGCTTAAATATCTTAATTTCACTCTATATTTTTTTAATTTTTTACTGCTTTTGTTTGGCACACACCCACACACACAAACACACAAACACACAGACACATCAAGAGATACAAAAACAAATATGGCGAGCGCTTTGCTATTTTGTTATTTTGATTGCTCCATCGATGGTTTCCGTTGGTGCGCCTCCTGCTGCATTCTCCCGCAATGCTTTTGCATTGGCTTTGGCTTTGGGATTTCGAGGCGGGTCTGGTCTGGTCTAGCCTGGCCCAGCCAGAACACCTGCGAACGTAACTGGATATTGCATATTTCGCTGTAAACTAATATGCTGCCTGATGTATGAATAACTGGGCGATATGCCCCGACAAACCACTCTGCCAGTGCCATAGCCATTTCTAGAGCCTGGATTTGGCCCTCAGCCGCTCGCTGTCACATCCGCTCGCACAGGATATGAAATGGCGGTTTTTTGGCCTGCACTCTGCAGTTGCCACCCGCACCCCCAGCCCCTTTCTTTGGTTCATACACATTTTTTTGTGTACGTTTTGTCCGATTTGTGGGCCAATCCGCACTCGATTTCTCGCTTCTTTGCTGCCACTTTTTGTGTGTTGTTTGGCTTTTGTCAGCTGGGGCTGGCTGTCGGCAGGCAAATTGAAATGTTTGCCCAAGCTGGCCGGCGGGGTGCTCTACTGGCTCTAGCTCTAGTCCACCCCAGCACAGCACAGCACCCGCCGCTGCATTCCAACTGGGTTTGTTTGTTGAACTTTGACACTAGGCTGTAATTGAAAGTTTTGTGTGGACATTTGAGGAGACAAAGGCAAACACAGTCGTTTTTTGTTTTTGATCCTGTGTTTGTGGGGGTGGGGGAAAGGAACGGCAATCGATGGCAGCCCAATCTCCAAAATAGTTCCAACTAACCCAATCCAATGTGAATTTCGGTGTAGAAATTACCCATCTCAGTGCCACATCCTCAATTAGCTCGCGTTCCTTTATATTGTGTGTCCCGAGGGTGGGGCTTAATTAATTTTTACATGTCCCCCCCCCCCTGCCCCTCACCAGGGCCTTGCTACGGATTAAACCAGCCACGCCCTTGAGCTCACCTGTCCTCATTTGTAGCGCCCATTTTCGTTGCTGGCAAGCGGCTTTATCGGGCTGCCCATGTCACGACCACAATTTTATCGATAGCAAACAAAAGACAAGCACAGACACAAGGACCCAGACAGACAGACAGACCATCGCTTTCTTTCTCCCTCTCCCTCTTTCGCTTTTTTATGTTTTTTTTTTCGGCTGCTCTTTGTGGGATCCCTGGCCGTGTGACGCTTTGGCTCAGCGCCAATGCATTGTGCGCCGATTATTTTGCCGTTTATTCTGTTCGCCTTTCTGTTCTCGCGTACTCTCACGACTCCTTTTTTGTTTTTTTGTGGGTCGTTTGTTTTCCGCTTGCACGCCTCCTTCTGGGGCGGTTTCCATATTAAATTTTTGTCACTCTGCCATGTCTATCTTCGGCGAGCGAGCGGAGCTCCAAATTGGCTGCTTTTCAACAAAGATGCAACATCTGTTTCGGTGCCTGCTCCCCATGCACCTCCTGCTGGCTGCTTGCTGCTTGCTGCTCGCCTCTGTCTCCTGTGCGCTATCGTTTTGCATATCCTTTTTGGCTCTGGTGCAAATTGCAATGTTGCCCTGGCAGTGGAGTTGTCCTGCCTCAACGAGCAGCTCATGTCGATGTGGCACTTGCCGTTGCCGCAGAAACCCAAAATCCTATTCATTATGTCACCGGAACGGCAGCAGGGGCAGGGTCTGGGGCATGGGGCAGGGTCTGGGGCATGGGCTGTAGGATCTGTGCTTGCCATTCCCATTTGCATGTCCTGTTTCGTTTCATTAAATGCCTGCCTTGCCGCATGCAATTACCAATTTATTTTGCCGGCGTGCACTTCTGGCCTGTTTTCGCCATTTCATGGGGGCTAAGGAGTTGTATTCGCTTTTGTTACTGCCACTGCAGCATTCCGCATGGCACTGTATTAGCCAGAGTTTCCCTGAGTAGTTGCTGGGCCATGGCGTACACATATCATTTCTTGGTACAGAGCTCAGCAGGCTGAGAACTGAGCTGTTGATGGATGTGTGTGCTGCCTTCAAGTATTTCGTTTGACTGACAAGAGACTCAGAATGGAGACTGCGAATGGAGACTGAGAATGGAGTCACGTGGAGTTAGGTTACCCGCTTGGGTTATGAATATCCCAGAACCATTTAATTGAATACTTTTAATTCTGGAATTCTGATCCCCCGAGAGTAGTTTCCGCACTTTTCCAAGTCTCTTTCTCTCCTTGCAGTAATAATATAATTAATTAGCTCCCCCAAGCCCCTTTTAAAACCAGATTCTGCCTTTGTTTTTGCCGGCAAGCAGGACACGTTCGACCAATTGCCATTCCCGGGTACAGTTACCTCAGCCAGAGCCACATCCACATCCACATCCACTGTCAGTGCCACAAGCACATCCTGATTCTGCCGCCCATCCCTAGCCCGACCCGTGCATTGTTTACTCTGATTGCCCGAGTGGCTGTGGCACTCTGACTCTGTCTCTGGCTGTGGCTCTGTCTCTGGCTGTGTCTATGGCAACGACCTCTGGCTGCTTGTCAAAGATTAAGCAAACCCACGTAAGCGGACAAACAAACACGCACTCGGGGGCATTTGGCAGGACTCGAATTGCAGTGAGAGAGAGAGAGAGAGAGAGCGAACTCTGCAGCTGGAAGGGATACACAGGAAGGATGCACATGGCAATTGCTGCATTTAGTGAGCAATAAATTCACTTTTAATTTACTAAATGCGCTTCTCGGCTCGTCCCATCCTTCCTTCACGCATACCTTCCCATACATACGCCATGTCCTGCGCGTGAAGGAGACAAATGCCTGCAGAAGACAGATGATGCGATTGTCTGGCTACCACACACCAAAGAGGCGGTGGCGAAGGCGGAGGCGGAGGCGGATGCTCGTCCAAATTGTGAGTAGTCTTAATTGCTTCGCTTCCATCTGCGTTTCGAATGTTCGAAGTTTTTGCGCCGGTCACATTTTGACTTTCAATTATGCAAATTTCAAATGTTTTCCAAATGATTTCTGGCCCGGCAATAGAATGCAATTTGCCAGCTTGTTGTATGCTGATGCTGATGATGATGATGGCCTGACGATGATTTTGTGGTCATAATGATTTGTTTTTGTGGCTGTCTCTATGTGTTTTTCTTTGTGTGTGTGTGTGTGTGAGAGTGTGTGTGCGTGATTGACCGCACAATTTCCTGTCATTAGGGTCGAGGATGCTGCTCCTACTACAGTCCGGGTTCTGCTCCTGCTGCTAACGTTTAAATCAAAGCTGCCTCTTTCTATCTCTCTCTTTCACTAGCTTTCTCTCTCTCACTCCCTCTTCTGCTGCTGCTGCTGCTGCTGCTGCTACTGCTGCTGCTGCTGCTTCTGCTTTAAATTAAACAGATTGTGTATTTATGAAATCATTTAAAATGCATATACAGACCTGTCCTTCATTCTCCAGCTGCCTGCTCCATAATTTCCCATTAACCTACTTTACCAGCACCCCCCAAAAATAAGCAAAAGCCCTTCCGCTCTCTCTCCCTCCCATCCCCTTGGGCGCATCTATCTCTTTCTGCTGCTCATTAGCCTGGCGACAGGAAACGGCGTTTAATTATGTCACACTCGGGCTTTGTCTTCCGTCCCGTCCATCCCATCACAATGCCAACATGTGTGCTGCCTGCTGACTGTGTGGGCAACGTGAAAATCATCAAACATGCAGCGGAATTGCTCCCCTGGTCAACTCTCTCGCAACTCTCCATCTACATATCTGTCCATATTCCGCTGGGACAGACAGACAGACAGACAGACAGGGACACATCAAAATGGTTGTGTGTGTGTTGGCCATAAAGTCTCCAATTAGATTTCTGGCCATAGTTGCAGATTGCTGTTTGTGTGTGTATGTGTGTGTGGGTGATTGTCAATCAATTTTTAATGAGTTTGAAATTGTTTGGACACGGAATAAGAGCTAATTTCAACCTGGCCAAACACCCATAAACCTGTCCCAGTTTGCAATGTGATCAACTCTCACTATCACACATATATGTACAATGTACACAGGTATGTACATATTATGTATCCTCCAGTGGATCAGTATGGAGATCCCTTCAAGCTTTCGCTTAAATGAAATAAACTTTTAACTCTGATTCATGGCCACGCCTTCGACTGGGACAGGGACTGGGCCTGGGCCTGGGACTGGGACTGGGACTACGCTGCAAACTTAATTGCCTCAGTAACTTATATAA